GGAGGGAGGGAGGGATCTCGCAATTGATTGGACCAAGTGCCTAACCCATGATTGGCAAGCGTTCTGACACTCAGCTACACCCCAGCCCCTCTTCCTTTGTATTTTGAGTCAAGGTGTCTTTATATTGCCCAGGCTGGCCTCGATTTTGCTCTGCATCCCAGATAAACATTGAATTAGAGATCCTCCTGCCTTGGCCCTCCTGGAAGAAGGGAGTACACACCTCATCACCAGGCCTGGCATCCAACCCATTCGTATCCAGTTAGTTCTAGGGATCAGGCACTACCTAGTCCCCCCGAGGAGGCCGCGATAAACACAACAACCCCCAATCCGTTATCTCTGGCTCCCTGGACTGTACTTGAAGTGGGTGGGGTTGTAATGGACGCGAAAGTGCCCATTTGTCGCCTGCTCCCGGGCTCGCTCCGCCCGGGCCCCGCCTCCCGCCTCGTTTTCTGTTCTCCTCGGGCCCCGCGGCTGGGAACCCTTGGCCTCCTGGCGCCTGCGTGGTCTAGCTCCAGACCAGGGGGAATCTGGCCGCAAGCGGAGGCTCTCCGGGTCACGGGGCACCGGCCGCCACCCCGCCGTCCCTCCCGCTTTGGGCCTGGGTCGGCTCCCTCCTGCCTCCACTGCTCGCCAGCGGTGCGCAGCTGCGCCTGGTGCCCAGAGCAGCTCGGAGGTGGCCCGAGGACATCCCAGAGGGGGATCCATGAGACCCGGCCGTTCAGGTACTGTACTGCGGGGACCACGGGAACGTAAATGGATGCCGCTGGCGTCGTAGACAGTAGGGCAGGGCCGCCTCCCCGCCAGTTCCCGGAACCCCCTTTTTATTTCTCCTCTTTGGGACTCCGCCTCTTCCTGCTGTTCTTCCCTGAAGTTCTAGGGACTCTGGCTCCTGCGACCCCACTACCCACGGGATGCGTCTGGGGACCCCCGTGGCCCCTTTCACCGCTCTTTTGGTGAACTCTGGGTTTTTGTGGGCTCTCCATCTGCCTTCACCCCACCTGAGTCGCCTCACCGAGGGTGCATGGAACACCTCAGCACTAGCCACTGCCACATGACACCCCCCCTTACACACACACACACACACACACACACACACACACACACACACACAGCGCGCCCTGAAACATAAATCCCAGGATCATTTGTTCACGTCCCTACGAGGTCACTGAAGGGTAACAGGCGCTTGAGTGTCCTGCATCCTGATTGATGCACCCCTGGGAAAGTGGGAGGTTGGGGACCTGAGGTCGTGGCCTGCAGAAGGTGGGCAGGGATGGGATACTAAAAAGGCACTGGGTTTATTGGTAGCTTGCATTTCTATTCCAAGCAAGCTGATAGTTGCATGCAGTAAACCGTTGGCCCCATCGACCCGTTTATTTGGTTAACATGGCTTTATTGGAAAACTTTGACAACCTATGAACTTTTGTGTTTTAATGTTTGTTTGATGTCCCTGTTTTGTTTGACAAGAGATCTTAGGAAATAGCCAAGAATCATCTAAGAAAGGTGCTGAGATTGGGACCAGAAACTGAGTCTGCCCCACTGTCCCCTGTCCCTTACCTGTCAGTCCTTCTGTGCAGCCTTGAGGACAGCAATGAGGTGGGGTCTGGTACTGGGGTAACAGAGGCTACGCCAAATATGGCTCCATCAAATTCACCAACACACTAGCGGTTTGGGCATCTCTAATGAGGTTCATCCGTGTGGCTGAGGAAGTGGCTGCTGTTCAAAAGTGGGTTTTCAATTTTAAGTCATAAAAAGAAAAACCCGGATGTGACTCTTTATTCTAAAAGTCTCCCCGCCCCACACTGTATTTATTTAAATATTAACAAGGAGCTGAAGCTGTAAGTTAGCCATAGAGCTCTTTCGTGTATTCTTGAAAGCCCTGGCTTTTGGATTCTTGGGGCTGCAAATTTTAATTCATTCGTTAATGTTAAACTAAAGACCTCTCTGAGGTTTGGTTTGAGTTACTCAATGATGTGTCTAAAACAAACCTAGGAGGAACATAGCCTAAGAGGTGCTGTTTTAGAATTGAAACTCTTTTTGTTGTTGTTGGGGTGGTGGTGGTGAAACCATATCAGGTAAATGATAATGCTCAACTGCTTAGCTATCCCCAGACCAGACGTAACACATACCTGTATCTACTGTGTAACCTGTGATCTCACTTAAAACTCAAGAGGCTAAGGCGAAAGGATTGTGTATTAGAGACAGGTGTAAGCTGTTCGGTGAGATCTTATCTCAAACGAAAAGAAGAAAAAAAAAAACTTAGACCTCCCAAATTGCTCAATGAACATTCTGTTACTCCTACCTGTCCACACAAAGCCTCAATGGGCTCGCTTTTCTGTTACATCTCTAGACATTCACACTGTTGAAGAGTCCGTGATAGAAATACATTCTCTGATTGCTGGTCTTCATATTTTATCTAACCTATCGCCCAAATTAAAATGCACTGATTTTAAGAAGTACTTTAAAACGTGTAACCAAGTGAGAAGAGACGTTCATGCTGCCATGCTTGGTTCCAGAATTGTCAAAAGTATATTCTATCATTCATGAAATCAGGCGTGCTGGCACAGAGCCTGTGTTTTGTCCACTCTTCTTATGTATAGCCATCATGACTGCAGGCTGAACCAGGGTACTGATCATGGATGAACTATTTTTATGCCACACACACACACACACACAATCCCCCCACACACACGCACACAGAAAACAGTGTGCGGTGGTTTGAATGGGAGAGACCATTACTCATTAGTTCACGCTTACTCCTCAGTTGATGAGCTGTCAGGGAAGGATTAGGAAGTGTGGTATCATTAGAGGACTTGTGTCACTGGGCGTGGGTTTTGAGGTTTCAAAAGCTCAGGTCCAGAGTCTCTCTCTATTCTTTGCCTGTGGGTCAGGATGTAGCTCTCAGCTTCTGTGCCAGCACCTGCCTGCATCCACCATGCTCCCTGCCATGATGGTGATGGACTGAATCAAGACCTCAGTTAAATGTTTCCTTTATATAAGAGTTGTCTTGGTCATGGTATCTCTCCACAGCAATAGAATAGTGACTAAGACATGGTGTAGGAGCTAGTTGCATCGTACAGGGTATTCTAAGTAATATGGTCACGGTTTACTTTATGTGAGAGGATATATGTTCCGTGGAGATATCCTGCCACTTTAATAAAGGACTTGAGAACCCTTGATTCTGGGGGTAAGGCTCCTTGGCACCAACCCCCAAGGGATATTCAAAGACCACTGTGGTATCTTTAAAGTATAGTGGGTACTGGAGAGATGGATCCATGAGTAGGAGCCTTGGTTTTGAAAACAAGAGGACCTGAGTTTGAATCCCCAGTCCCCACATACAAGCCATTGCAATGCATACTTTAACCCCAGCTCTGGACAGTGAAAACAGGTGGGTCCCAGCAGCCCTCTGGCTAGCGAGCCTAACCTTAACAGTAAGCTTCAGGTTCAGCCAGAGTCCCTGTCTCCAGAATAGGCGGGAAGGTATAAAGGAAAGACTGCTGACTGCCTGTGTCTGTCTGGCTTTAGCTTACTGGTGCATAGGGACACACATCCAAACATACACCCAATCCACACATGTGCACACAAAGAATGAAACTAGAATTTCATTCTTTGGGAATTCTCAAAGAATTAAGCCTTTAGTCCCTAGACTGAGGTACCCAAGAAAAAGGGATTTATGTGAGTTCAAGGCCAGTCTGGGTTATCTTTGGATAATCCCAGGTTATCCCATGCCATCCAGAAATACATAGTAAGAGGCTACCTCCAAAGAAACAAACAACAAAAAAAAGAATTAAGCTAGCGTATGCAATTCAGGAAAGAGCAAATGGCAAGCATTTCCTTCTGAGAGGAGGTTGTCTGGTGTAAGAACAGTAGGAGGGGGAGGCAGAGGCAGGCGGATTTCTGAGTTCGAGGCCAGCCTGGTCTACAGAGTGAGTTCCAGGACAGCCAGGGCTACACAGAGAAACCCTGACTTGAAAAAAAAAAGAACAGTAGGAGGCAAAGGAAGGGGGTGTATAGATCATGGGTTAAGGACTGGGGGGGGGGGGGGGGTGCAGGAAGGGGTGGAAATCAGTGGACAGTATTTTTTCTGGAGCCAACAGGAAGATGCACACATGAGTCAGCCTAGAAGCATGTCTGCAGACTGGAGAGCCTTAAACCTTGCCTTAGTTTTTTTCCTTCATCTTTAATTCTGAGATTCTTTAAAAGTGCCTTTTAAAATGTAGCTGTGCTATAGGTCCACAGGATTGTTGGACATTTTTTATAGTCATCAAGAAAGAAGCAAAAGGCCAAGCATGGCCTTTTCTTTTTCTCAGAGGAGCAGTGGGTCTTTGTGTGAGCAGAGGCCCTTGAGAGGGGGACGGTGCTCCAAGTATCTGCCACAATTGGGGAGCAATCCAAGACAAATGGTTGACGCCACTTGCCTCTCCTCTACGGGGGGGCAGTGAGCGGGTGTACCAGACACCAAAGTTCCTGTGGAGAAAGCAAGGATTTGGCACAGGCTGCGCTCATGTTCTCGTGTGCCCTATCCCCTGACCGTAGAATGAGCTCCTCCTTCAGAACAAGGAACTGCCCTAGCTCTCCTGACAGACAAAGCAGAATCACTGAATTATATGAAAAGACATTTATGGTTTCAGTCCACTACAGGACAGCAACGGAAGCCAGCCAAGTACAGCTCTGTGGAGTGGGAGACAGGGAAGGGCAGGGGGCTCACAAGGAGTCTGTAAAATAAAAAACTGGGTAATCTCTCTCTTGGGAGACTGCTTGCCTAGTGTCTGTGAGGCCTCCTAGGTTTGATCCTGTATACCTGGTGTTTAAGAATGAGAGAAGATAACAAGATAAATAAATATATTTAAATTTTTAAAAATTTAGATTTATTTCATTTATGTACGAGTGTTTTGACTGAATGTATCTGTGGGCGCTTGGTACACAGATAGTGTCAGTAGTGGCCAGAAGAGGAACTACAGATGGTTGTGAGCCACCATGTGGGTGCTGGGAATAGAACCTGTGTCACCTGCAAGAGCAATAAGGCCTCTCCACGGCTGAGCCATCTCTCCAGCCCCAGATAAAAATATTTTAACAGCAGAAAGGCATGGTTTAAACCCAAAGGGATGCAAAGGAAAGAGACAGATTAAATTAGTTAGAAGTCTTCTAGGAGACTTCTTTGTCTCCTAGGCAGACAAACTACAATCAAGTATTTAGGATAGTTGGAATCTTTTGTACGGCAAAAGCCCCAAGAACAACAGAAAATGCACACATGCACACCAAAACAGGACTAAAGAAGTAGCACTGAGGTGAGAAGGTGGGGAGGGGAGACAGCGCTGGTGACCTAAAAACAATAAACCCAGCCATAGAACAGTTTGAATGCTCAGCCTCAAGAGATCTTAAAGATGTCAGTTCACTGAAAAAGAATGAGTAGAAGAAGAGTTTTGAGAAGTTTCTGGGAAGAAAAAGTTAAGGAAGAAAACAAACAAACAAAACCCAACAAAATAACAAGGAAAACCAAGCCGACCCCAGACTTTGCCAGAGTCAATCTGAAAGGCCAGGGGTGAGGGTTGTGGCGGAGGGGACTAGAAAATTAAATGCCAGAAACAGCAAATTATCATAAACAAGGTTAGACTAAAAGCCTGGCAGCTTTCTCTTGGTGCAGAATAGATTCACCAGCTCAGGAACTTAGGGGGCTTAGGAGCCAGAAGAAAGGACTTTATGGGTCACGGAAGCTTTTGTAACCAAGCATGGGGGAGGGAGGGTCTGGCAGCCGAAACTGACACAAACCAAGGCGGTCCTCAGTCAAAATGTTCAGTGCAGAAAGCAAAAATTCGGGCTGAGGAGGTGGCTCAGTGGATAAAGACCTTGCTACCCAAGCAGGAGGTCACGTGTTCAATCGATCCCTTAGAACCCCTGTAAGAAAGCTGGGCAGGGTTAACGCACGCCTGTCGCCTGTGATCCCAGCTCTGAAATGGATGATACAGGAGGATCTCTGGGTCTTTCTGGACCGGCTGGTGCAGTCCAGTCTGTGGGTTCCAGATTCAGTAAGAAACCCTGCCTCCAAAACTAAGGTGTAGCCGCCCTTGGGCCTTGAAACTCAGGGAGCCCGCCATTCCTCTGAAATGTGTCTGTCTCTTTAAACGAGATTTCTTGTCGCTTTGCTAAAAATAAACGAATAAGGTGAAGGGTGATGGATGAAGACACCTAACATCAACCTCTGGCCTCCAGGTTCCTGAACACACAAACCTGAACACACAAACACGCAAACCAAAACAAACAAAAAAATACAAAAACAGAACAAAACAAAAAAGCAAAGGAGGTGAAGACCTGTCACTCCAGTATTTCTCAAACCTTAAACGGTATTATTAGACTCCTGAGAATGGTTTGTTCCGGAAGATTAAGTTACTGATAGAATAATATCTGGATCTGGGTAGCAACTTAATGGCTGTTGGAAAAATCTTCCAAGTTTGGAGAAGAATGCTTGGTCTCTTTGTGACCACTTTGGTAGCTATTTTGATATTTTCCTTGTCAAAAGATGCCAGGAGGCTCCTGGGGAGGTGGGCAGGGCAGAGCCTCCAGGCTCTGCTGTGGTGAGTTCTTGGTGTGCATTAATGTAGGGCTGACCTGCTAGGCTCCTATTGGCTCCCTCATTCCCTTTTCTAAGGACCCGCCCACCCTGTAGCATACTGTCCATGTCTAAGTGTCTGTAAACCTCTGTTCCAATCTGCTGGTGCCTTGGGGGGGTGGGGGCGGGGCGACTTACAGACTTGTTCCCACCAGCCCGGAACTCCAGCCATTATAAAAGACCCAGTGGTCCCAGTACAATACAGGGCTGAAGCACCCAATCCTTCCCAGCGCTTGCACTGGAAGGGCTTTAGTGGCACAATGAGATTCTGCTGGTGTAACCTAGTTGGTACCCAACCATGGAGCTACAGTACTCATGAGCCTGGTTAGCCCATCTTGCTGTGGGGAAGAGAAAGCAGCTCAAATATGAGCTGGTGCTTTGAGCCCAGGATGTACCACCATCCCATCAGAAGGTGCTAACAAACCAGAGTCAAAGATAACTTGGGGAATTTGAGACAGAAGAATGTGAAGGTAAGTCCTTCAGTACACAAGGCCCTGAGACTGAGAGGCCTGTCTCCAAAGACAATAAGGGCTGTTTTAGGAAGACAGAGCTGTTTGGGATCAGGGAGATCTTTAGGGTCTCTGTTAGGTAATCAGACAGGACTCCAAAACAAAAAAGAATTTAGTTAGAAGACGTCTTGTGTGCAATGGAGCCTCATTTTGCCCGGAACAAAGCAAAGGGAGGAAATATTCTTGGCCCAGAGGAGAAGAATGATGTGTGTGTGTGTGTGTGTGTGTGTGTGTGTGTGTGTGTGTGTGTGTACGAACTCGTGCACTTGTGTCCATGCTCCCACTACTGAAGCAAGTGAGTCTTCCTGCAAATACATACTGAAAACAAAGATCTCTCACTATCAGAAGAAAAGTGGAGGCCCAAGGGTTCAGGTCAGGTGCTGGGATGTGAGTTATCTCACATGTGACCATGCAGGTGTGCCTGTGTCCAAGCAGGTTTCTAGCCATGAAGCCTGTCTTCCGTGGAGCAGTGGTGGGAATTGACGATACATGTCACAAGGCTATCCCAGAAGGTACTTCCATGGGAAAGCAGGGTTATGAGATACGTTGTGGAGAAGGTGATTGGTTGTCTCTGCAGAAGGAATGTGAGTTTTAACCTGGAATTTAACCTTCTAAATGTCTCTAGAAGAATCCGTGGATGGGACCTGCCACCATGCAGTCAAGGGGAATTTTAAAGCAAAGTTGTTTGTAGCTTAAGCTGAGTCAGCCATTTCCTGCTCCTTTTTTTATTTCTGTCTCAAACAATTTTATTTGTGGGGGGGGTGGGGGGCAATGAATCTCTCCTTGACCTCTGAAACTTCAGTGAGAAAGAAGAAATAAGATCAACTGAAGTTCCTTTCAACTTACAAACCCTTATCTCACCTTGGAATGGAGACTACCAGAACAAACCCCAGAAGCTGAGAAGATAAAGTCATTTCTTGATAACCTCAGGGGTTGGGTCCAGAGTCTCTTGGGATATCAAACTCCAAGGATGCTCAAACCTCTTGTACATGACGTCGTCATGTCTGCATATAACCCATCCTCCCTGGGCGAGGTGGTGTACAGCTATTATCCCAGCATTCACAAAGTAGGTAGGTGAGAGGATCACCCCAAATTCAAACCAGCCTGATCTACATGGCGAGATCTTGTCTCAGAAGACGAAAAATTAAAAACATAAAGATTGGGGCTGGCGGTATGCCTGGAGTGATAGAATGCCTGTCTGTCAGACGTGGGTTTGAGTTACATTTCCAGCACCACATCAAAACAGATTCGATGGCAGACTTCTTATGAAGTAGAGGGAAAGAACCATAAATTCAAGGTCATTCTCTCTCTTCCAGAGCAACTTCAAGGCCAGTGTAGAATACACAAGACGCTGTTCCAAAGAAAACAAGAATTGTTGCCTAGTTTATTGTCTGGTTGTATATTTAAATCATGTCAAAATTGCATGCAATACCTAGTGTAATACAAATGGTATGTAAATAGTTACATTGTATCATTTATGAACTAATGAAAATGAAAATCACCTATACCAATTCAATACAGGTACAGTTCTTTTGTTTCCATACAAAATCCTGTACAAAGCTGGTCTAATACACTAATGCAGAATTCTCAGATAAGGAGAGACAACAATTATATTTTTCCATATGCAAGAGTAAAACTCAGAATCTTCCAAGTGGTTTACACATACACACACACACACTCACGCACACACCAACACAAGTAATCAATCAAAAGACAGGCAGAGAGCTCACAATAAAAAAAAAATTGATTTATATCAGGAAAGGCCAAGTTTCCTCATACTTAAAAAAATTCCCTGCCAAAAAAGGGCCAATAGGGATTGAACAGCTGACAGAAAAAGAATCCTACAGTTTCATATCTGGCATCCAAGGCCCTTGGTGACATGATTTGGGTTCTAACAGTCTTGAATAGCCCTGCCTCTCCAGATCTCTTGTGATGCAGATGTCCTTTCCCATGGACCAGCTCCAACTTGCTACCTGCAGCTTTCTTTGGTGAACATCCCGCATTTTGACATCGCTGATAACCTAGGGTCTCCATTGCAATTCGGGTTTTACCTGCACAGCTTATTGGGGAACTTCATGCAAGAAATACATGTTACAGCTTCTCGGAAACTTTCTGAAACATCGGTGTAAGACTCTCTTCATCTACTCGCACTTGTGTCTTGCATTCCTGCAAAACCAGCACCACGTAGAACACCGAGATTCTGCTGTCAATTTGAGACAATGTAGCCTGGCCTCCCTGGGCCGCAGCTGCTGATCTGGGCAGAGGTTTTCCAGTAGGGGAGGAGGGATACCCTTGCCTTCTACCTCTTCGGTTGCTTTCTTTTCATAGCCATGACAGCCTGCACGTGCACCCCATCATTAATTAAGATATCCTTCTTCATACAAAGTAACCTGTTACTTCCCTCTCAGCCTGCTCAGATTCTCAGGACGCAGGCAGATCTTTTGCCCGATAAAAGCACAAGTGACCTTTAGCCAACTTCCCAGCAGAGTTCTTGTTCCTCTCTGAAGCTATGGAGGACGGTCTTTACTGCTTGTATGTCTGAGAACTGTTTTGGTCTTTAAAGCTTTAAGCAGTTTATAGGCACTTAAAAGTTTCTATAACTAACAGCTCCAAAATCTTCCACTTCTCCACACCGACACAGGGTGACTGTAATTGCCTATGACCCCTTCAGCTGCTTAGTTGTCCACAGGCAGCAATGCATACCCACACATTCCTATCCAGAGACACATAGCTACAGTTTTTAGATTTAATTATTTAATAATTAAATTAACCAAATGCCTATTGTCTGTTCAAAATGTAAGCTTTAAAAAAAAAAAGTCTTCTGACCTAGAGATTGGTACCACAGCTGAAAGCTGAGCAAGTCCCAAGCAACAAGGAAAGACTGAAACTGGGAATCTGGCTACTTTTTAATGTTTTTTAAAAGACAGGGTGGCCCCTCCAGGCTGGCTTCAAACTCTCTGTGTCGCTGAGGATGGCCTTGAACGTCTGAGCCTTCCCCACCTCTCTGCTCAGATGACAGATGTGCACTCACACTGGGTTCATGCAAGTTTAACCCCAATCCTAACCAATCCAGGGCTACAATGGGGCCAAATCTGCAGCTAAATCTGACGAATTCTTACTCTTCTCTCATTAGCATATACATGTATAGCATATGTGTTACAATATAGTTGGGTACTTCTGAGTTTTGACCACCTCAATATTGATCTCTTTCAGGTGTAAGAGCAGATAAAGGACTTAAAAACTAAGCAGGATGCTTTCAAAGTGTGCCGTCTCTGCCGCTGGCTTCCTTAGCTTGTGTCTTGTGGGTAAGTGCTGCTTTTCAGCACAGCAGTTAGAGGAGAAGGCCTGTGTTCCTGTCATCACAGAGAGCCCTGGTGTGGAGCAGCAAATGGATGTCCATATGTGGAGGACCCAGATCAGCATGGCCTGCATTAGGCATCCCGTGGGTGTCTGCCCCTTAATTTTAGCTAAGCCAGAACAATATAGGCTACATTCCTATTCAGGAAACTGCCTTGTTTACAATTCAAAGAGTTGCTGCTCTTCATACCCTGAATCTCACCCACGGTGGAGTTTAGAAAGTGGCCATCCCTTTATCTCTTCCTACGGAAACTAAATTGAAAATTCATCCCAAAACATTGATGTTTGATTTATGTATTTCCTTTCTTTTTAGCTCTTATTTTTTCTACAGTTGTATTTCTTCACATCCTTTCTTTTTCTTCCTCTCAACTATTTTAATTCTACAATATCATCTCTCCCATACATTGTCCTTAGGGGATCCAGGAGTCTGACAAATCTCTCAGTGTAGGTATGCACAGATAATGTGTCCCACCCACAGTCTCCACATTCTGTCAAATGCCAGGAACCCCACTCCCTGTAAGTCATTGCAAGATCAGGAAATAAATGACCCCTCTCACTCGTACCTTCTCTAAGGGGATGGTACTCACTAATTCCAGTCTCAAATATCCTCTCTTCATCTTCTGCTCTTGGTAAATGTCTTTACTTTAAGTGTATTGATTAACAGCGTGCTTACTTATATTCTGAGAAATGTGTCATATAGACAGCCACTTCACAGGCACTCCCTCAATCCATCCAGCCCCTGCTGTTTCTGCCCAGTCCCAGAGGTCTCACTTTACATCTGCCCTGAATGCCGCCTTCAGATGGCACACGTGGCAGCCATACCACGTTAGCCAAAAGCATCCATAATCTCCAAAGGATTTTTGCTAGCGTGAGAAAATCTTAATATTAAGTAGCACATGCATGTCACAGACTCTTACATTTAGAGTAATTGTAATTGACAGTCTAGGCCCAGAACAAACCTTGTAATCTGTTGTGCTTCCTCCTAGTGTTCGTGAGCCCAGAGACGAAGTTACCGACTGCTTTTGAGGGTAAGAATTGTTCTGACCTTGACTAAATTTAATGTAAGGGTCAAAGTGTCTGGCTAACAGGCAGGAAAGGGGGACATTTCATTTCTGACACCAGACAGGCTGACCAGTTTATTGGAATCCTTTCTAGGTAGAGGAGCTAAGAGTGTTTGTCATCATTTGTGCCCTAAACTATCATAAGAGGAAGACAAAAACAAAAACAGAAAAACCACTAGTGATCATTAGGAAGAGCTCTCAAAGGCTACTGACACTTTTAATCTCACTAAGAAAAGAATGAAGAAACAGAAAATGGTCCAGGCCAATTTCTCTTTAATTTCCAATCTTTTACATATTAGTTTCAGGTAAAGAAAAATACATTTCTTTAACTGAAATTTGTTCTCCTTTGTGTGACCAGGGGAGTAAAAATGCAGTGGGGATTTGAGATGAGGGGGATAAGGGGGTGCGGAGATGGGAAGGAGATGAGGGGAGTCAGGGAAGGAAGGAGAGTGGAGAGAGACCTTGGGAGGGAGGGAGAGAGAAAAAGGGGAAAGTATGGGTGGGGAGAAAGAGGGATAGTGGGTGAGAGAGGGGGTGGAGGAGGAGAGGGGTGAGTGGCACAGCAGTTTTCAGGCCAGTTAAGAAAGAGGAAGGGCTGCCGGGCGTTGGTGGCGCACGCCTTTAATCCCAGCACTTGGGAGGCAGAGGCAGGCGGATTTCTGAGTTCGAGGCCAGCCTGGTCTACAGAGTGAGTTCCAGGACAGCCAGGGCTATACAGAGAAACCTTGTCTCGAAAAACCAAAAAAAAAAAAAAAAAAAAAAAAAAGAAAGAGGAAGGGACAGGAGTGTGAACGAGCACCCCTGGTCCAGAGTGAGCTTGGTTGTTTTGGTTCCGTGAACTATAACAGTCGTTGATAATTGGGGAAGCCCTTTGTCCAGTGTTTACAGGGTACCCAGTTCCTGTGTGTCAGCTTTCCTGTCCTCACAATAAGTTGTCACTAATCAACTGAATTACTTCATTTCCCACGTCCAGTGGACTTCCTGCACATTCTAGATGCCAGAATGCTTTCACAAGGGCTTGCCTACAAGACGTGTGTGTCTGAGCTCCTAAGGGGAGAGCGATCCTGAGTTCCAAATCTCATCATTTCTTCTTTTTCCCTCCTGTTCTTTCTAGAGTATCCAGATGAGCCTTGCGTTATAAAACTGACAATACGACGTTTCCGGCTAATTTTATCCTGGGAATTAGAAAACAAGCCCAGCTCACCAGCTAACTACACACTCTGGTATACGGTCATGAGGTCAGTTGGTGTGGCCTTTTGCTTCTCTCATTGAATACGTTACCTTTCTTCCTATTACATGATTTCTCCCCTCAATAGGTTTATTTCCTGTCCCAGAGCTTTTTAAGTTAATTTATATGTTTTGGGGACATGTATGTGTGAGGGAGCACCTGTGTGTGTGCAGAGGCCAGAGTTTAACACTGGGTGTTTCTCAATCACTCTCTGCCTTATTTTTTGACACAGTCTCTCTCTCACCGGGCTTGAGACCTTTTGTGAGGTTAGCTGGCCAGCCATCTTTCCAGCTCTCTGTCTTGGTTTCTTTTTGTTTGTTTGGTTGGTTGGTTGGTTGTTTTTTTGTTTTTGGTTTTTTTGGGTTTTTTTTCTAATTCATATAGGGCCAAAGTCAAAATATCTATCTTTCTCAATTCATTTAAATTCTTCTGTAGCCCAAAGCTATTGGGGACAGGGGCAAAGTTTGTGTTTGTAAGCCACATCCTGACAGTTTGCACAGTGACTCCTCCTTGGTCACTAGCATTTAAAAGTCCCACTTACCATCAGGCTCAAGGCCTCTTGACCGTATTGATAGTTTACGTCCCTGTTTCTTTGCTCATGGAGGTAAGTTATACTCCAGGAAACCCCGCTTGACAAGCTTAGCTCCAAAGCCAGTAAATCACTGATCAGCTTAATATTTAGCCCAGCGTTTTTGTCTCTGCCTAAACATTGCTACGGGGGTAAGGATGGAATTGGCAGAGACCCCCTTGGCCTTCCTCTGCCCACAAACAACAGCCACTTCCCTAAGTCCTTGCTTTGCTCAGTAGCTCTTTGGAGAGAGTGTATCTGTAATGTAAGCCCTGTACCCCTGGCCCAAAACAGTCTTTTCTATTATATATCAGATCTCCAACTGTTACACCGGCCAGGAGAGAGCAAGCCAGGAGAGAGCAAGAGTGTCTTGTGACTTTCCCTTTCTCCTACCAAGTCTTCCTTTTCCTCAGCTTGATGATCACACATATCGCTAATTTACCCGTTCTGATTTCATCTCTGTTGTTGTGATGAAATACTCTGACCAAAAGGAACTTGGGAAAGAAAGAAAGCAGTGGTTTCTTTGGATTATGGTTCCAGATGGCAGTCCATTGTTGAGGGAACTCAAGGCAGGAGTTTCAGGTATCAAATCAGTCATGAGCAGAGAGAGGATAAATGCCTGGTTCCTTGCTTGCTTGTGTCAAGCAAATTACCTATCCAGCTTTCTGTACTTATACAGTCCAATGCCCAACCTATGGAATGCTGCCAGCCACCCTCAGGCTGAGTCTCCCAACCTCAGTTAACCATCGAGATAGTCACCAACAGACATGCCCACAGGCAAACTCCTTCTAGATAATTCTTCAACCCTAGGTTCTCTTCCCTATCTCCTGTTGACAGCTGGAACTAACCAGCACACTCCCTTACTTCCCCAAGCTTGGTGAATCAGACGTTCTGATGTCCCTAAATGAGCACAGTTCCGACTTAAGATGTAAGACTATATGACCTTCAGCCAGAGACACATCTCGGTGAAAGCACTGCTAAATTATCCTAGAGTGAGAGGGAGGTCTGCGGCCTAGGGAGGTCTGGGGCCTAGGCCCGGAAAGCCCAAGCCCAGGGTTCATTCGTTCATTCATTCATTCATTCATTCATGCATGCATGCATTCAGTAGATTCCATCCATTAAACAATAAAAGTATAATGTTGCAGTTGAGGATGAATACTTAAGGGGAAAAAATCCAGAAGAGATTAGAAGTGGGGGTTATGTGCAGTTTAACGTGTTCAGTTTCAGAATGTAGTGATTGTGGGGTATGGGGCAAAGCCTGCAAACCATTTCTTTTGGCCTGAGGCACAGGAAACAGATTCTCACGACATGCGTGTCCATCTTTCCTTCCTCAATCTTTTCCCCTTCAAAGCAAAGATGAAAATCTGACGAAGGTTGAGAACTGTTCAGATATCACGGAGTCATCGTGTGATGTGACAGATGAGTGGCCGGAGGGCAAGGAGAACTACTACGTCATCATCGTCATAGTGCACAGAGGGGACGCCATGGCGTGCCACTGCTCAGACTACATCTCGCCTGAAGATGGTAAATGGGTCTCTGTGTCTCTCAACCTCATCAGTGGTTTGCTGTGAAAGAGGAAGGTGTTTGGCTGGAGAGCTGGGCTGACTCTTGGCCCTACCTTGTGTGGCCATTTGGTTGCTCAGAGACTCAGCTTTCTCATCTAGAAAATGGGTCTAAAAACCTGTGCTTCTCAGGTTTTTGTTCGGTACGTGTATAAGGCAGGTTTTTCAGTGGTAACTGTCGATGACTCCCTGTTCACTTTACAGCCTGGCAGGAAGCAGCAGGCTTTGCATGGTTCTCTCCACACTGTCACATCTCTTTAGACCAGTATCTTCCTGCCCACCATCTGAGACTGTAAGCCAAGAAAGCTATGGCACTCAGCTCACAGGGCAAGTGGAGCTCAGGAGTAGGGTGGCCTTTCTGCCTTCCCCTGTGTCTAAAGGCCTTCCCTGAGTACTTATGCTAGTGGCTCCAACTCCACTGTGTTTTTAGCATCTAAATTTATAACTGGTTTCCACGGTAACATTTTTGGTTTCAGCACACTGATACGGAAAGGCAGGTGTATGCACGAATACATACCTGGGAAAGTGATAATGGTGGCTGAACCATGACCAGATCATGAGTGAGTCTTATGAAGTTGTCCCAGGGGCATACAGGCTTTGGGTCAGCATTCACATCTGTGCATTGCACTCACAGGGAAAAAAAATCAGAGCACAGCTTATAGATCATGATAAAGAATACATATTCAAGTAATAAGTATTTTTCATGATCCAAATCCTAAATATGAAAAAGATACTAAAACCGAAGACCACCGGATGTAATGGTGCACTCCTGTAATCTCAGCAGCCATGAGCCTGACACAGGAAGAGAACTGAGGTTTGAGGTCAGCCTGAGGTTACATAGAGAGTAGGAATCCATCCAAGACTACATAGCAAGACGCTGTGCCAAGCAAACAAACAAACCCCCCAAGATTAGGGGAAAATACAGACATCATGCTTTGACATAGTTCTTCTGAACAGATCCAACAATATGTTATGTCATGTTATGTTATGTTATGTTATGTTATGTTATGTTATGTTTTGTTTTGTTTTGTTTTGTTTTGTTTTGTTTTGTTTTAAAGTAACATAAGCCAGCAAGATGGCTCAGTGGGTAAAGGCACTTGCCACCAAGCCTAAAGACCTGAGTTCAGTCCCTGGAACCCACAAGGTAGAGAGAGAGTTGATCCCCAAAAGGTGTCCCCTGACTTTCACACATGTGCTATGGCATAGTGACCCACACACATACACATACTCACACACAAAACAAAATAAATTAAAAATGTAAAAAAAATTAAATGTAATATAATTTTTTAATGTATACCTTAATTAGGTGTATTTCCATCAAATAGAGAGAGAGTAAAATTGCAAACCTTTAGCATTTGACTCAGAATTCTTCTCTAATAATTTGTTATAAAGAAATGACCAAGAGGACTGGTGAGATGGCTCTGCAGTTAAGAATACACAGTGTTCCCCAGAGGGTCTGAGTTTGGTTCCCAGCATCCAAGTGGGGCAGCTCACAACCACTTCAGCCTCAGGGACCTTCTGCCCTCTTCTGGCCACTGTGGGAAACTGCACTTACTTGTAACTATTGCCCACAAACATACACACATACACGTAATTTAAAACTTTTTAAAAAACACCCTTTTTTTTTTTTTTTAAGGAAAAGGAAATAGCTAGGGAACAAATGCAGAGATTGAGCTCCAGAGACACCAAATGACACATGGATTCTGTTAAGAAATATTAAAAATAATCTGTTTGTTCCTAATAGTGAATCAGTGAATCTTGGGGTCATAAGAACACAGGGTTTAAATTCAGCATAGGAAGTTATGAAGTGAGTTGGGAGTCAGTAAAATTCCATGAAGGTCAGAGAAGAAACACTTTAGACTTTGTGAGTCATATTCAGTCTCTGTCCTGCGTTGTTCTTTCTGTTTTCCTTTGAGATTCCAAAAAAAAAAAAAAAAAAAATTATCCAAAAGAAAAAAAAAAGTGATATTGTAGGTTGTGCCAAAATCTAACCCATGAGATGTGGTTTTCTAAACCTCAGGGTAAATAAATGTGTATTGATGTGTTTATGTCATATAGTTAAGCAAGTCAGCCATAGTGGTACATGCTTGTAATCCCAGGACTGAAGAGCCAGAGGTAGGAGACTGTGAGTTCAAGGCCTGCCTAGACTTTAAAGAGAAAACCTGATTTGTTTTGTTCTGTTTTTTAAAGTAGTTAAATAAAGTTATAAAAAGAACATAATAAGGACATAATAAAAACATAAGGACTTAATTTCAGTGTGTATGTGTTTGTGGACATGCATGTGCATATATAACTATTCAGATACCCCAGTTAATATGTATGAATATGTATATATTTATATACAGTAGCATAGAAAAATTGACTCAAAGAAAATTCCCTGCCTGTATTCTCTACAGTTGTTTATTACTACCATGCATTCATGTTGATTTATGAAAACGAGTCATTTTAAATTTTGTATCTACAATATAGCGTGGGAGTCTGGAAGGCTGCTGATACCTGTCTCAAGTCAGTGGATCCTGTGCCATAGGAATGCTAATGAATCAAATTGTTCTCTGTTTTTCAACAGTAAATCCAAACAACGCTATACAGCTACAGTTAGAAGGCCGCTCAAACAGAATTAGCCTTTCTTTAAGAGAAAGACAACTTCTCTGACAACAGGATACAATGTACATACTGAAATAGGGAGAGACTGACTGTTGCTCATTCCCTTTCTCACGAAGAGCATTCGTTTTCCACAGCTTCTCTTGAGCCCCCAGAATTTGAGGTTGTTGGCTTCACAGACCACATAAACGTGATGCTGGAATTTCCACCTATCACTTCCAAGGTAATCCTGGAAAAGCTGATGTCTACATCCCTCTTCATCAAAGAACAGACAGAGGACAGCTTTAGGATGGTAAGTGGTCCCTCATGTTCAGATAGAAATAATACATAGCTGCCAGTGGATACATTTCAATTCCTTTTCAAGAACTGTGTAAAGTCAGGGAAGGGCAACATTAGAGGGCATAGCTCAATGATAGAGTGCTTGCTACCCTGTTCAGCACCCAACATTGCAGAGGGAAAAAGGGAGGGAGAGAGAGAGAGAAAGAGAGAGAGACAGAAATATAGACTGAGAGATACAGAGACAGAGAGAGAAAAGAGACAAAGAGAGAGGAGAGATACAGAGACAGAGAGAGAAGAGACAGAGGGAGACAAAGAGAGAGGAAAGAGATACAGAGACAGAGAGAAAACCGAGAGAGAAAAGAGACAGAGACAGAGAGACAGAGAGGGGGAAGAAAAGAAGAAAAAAATTGTATCATCTACTGTTGTCTTTCATCTGTGCTTCTTTATATTCATGAATCACAGCATTTTAGACTGACTGTGTATTTATTAGGATAACAACAACACCGTAGGATGAAGACTGTACACAGAGGCTTCTTCTTCTTCTTCTCCTTCTCCTCCTCCTCCTCTTCTTCTTCCTCCTCCTTTTTCTCCTTCTTCTGTTCTTAAATTGATCTTTAAGTCCAATTAAATCATGAAATAAAAGAGGTTGTTGGTGTAACCCAGGCAGCAGGAGGGAGTGGCCTGGACCAGCTGTTGGAGCTGTGACCTTCCAGTGCTACATGTGTTTCATATGTGGACTCTACAGTGTGGTGGAGACACCTTACGGCCACAGCACCTTACAGTTACCCTTAACTGAGATAATGAGAACTGTGGATGAACGTCGGTTAGGATATGTTAAATGCGAGATGCCAGTGGGGGATTCAGAAGGAGACAATGGCAGGAATCTCAGCTCCCATGTCTGGAGTTAAAAGAGAGTCTTTTAATAAGACTGCCTTTGATGAGTCATGGGCAAAGCCTGGTTGGATAGACTCAAGGAAAGCCTTGAAGGGCTCATTCTCTAGATCCTTTTTTACATAGCTGCAGCAACAGCTCTAGAAGGTGGAATATCAAGTGAGTGTTCTAGAGACTTGGTGGAACTTTGAGAGCATAGAGAAAGGTGCCCTTGGCTGGGAACAGAGATGGATTGGAGAATGCTGCACAGATGCAGAAAGAAGAATGTCTTAGTCTGTTTGCTGTGACTATAAGGAAATACCTGTGGCTATACACTTTATCAAGAAGGAGGGTTATTTTGACTCTGGCTTCTGGAATTGAGGCTGAGGGAGGACATCTGTGGATGGCCCTCCTCCTACTGGCTGAGTCCTGAGGCAGCAAAGACTGACGTGAAGAGAACAAGGAGCATGCATGCATGTGTTCAGATGTGGTTTTCTCTGTGAGCCACCAGGGTTTATTCATGGGGCTCCACTCTGATGACCTAAACTCACCCCAATCATCTCATCAGCGATGGAAAGATGATAATATTATGGCAATGACATCATGGAGACCTTTGCTCCCCTTTTGGGCTTTTTCTTCTCATCCATATAATGGATCTAATAAGCCAGATACTGCAGTTTTAAAATACGTGTACATATGTATGAACATGAGGTTTGGCAATAAATTGCTTGCTTCTAGTGACATAAACCTTGCTAAACCTTGCTAAACCTGTTTAAGATTTGAAAATAGAACCTTTAGGGCTAACCTCTCACCAAACTCTTAACTGATCTGTATGTTTGTGTGTGTGTGTGTGTGTGTGTGTGTTTCTTTTTACAGCACAAGCACAAAATGAAAAATGTTCCTGGGAACTTCACATATGTCCTTAGAGACTTACTTCCAAAGACAAACTACTGTGTATCTGTTTATTTTAATGATGAACCCGTAAGAGAATCACCCTTAAAATGTACCGTCCTTCAGCCTGGCCAGGAATCAGGTATGATTAGGTTTTTAAAATTTGTACTATTGTTTTGATGGAAAACTTTCTGAAAGGAAAAAATTCTCAAGTTCTAGTACACTAAATGTACTTCTTCCAATAAATGCACATCACTGAGCTGTCCCTATGGGTCTGTCTCTAATGTCTTGTCCTGCCATAAGAATAATCAAATATCTACCTTAGAAGATCAGTCTCCTGTAGCACTTTCACTTAAGGGAATCTGGGTTAAATTCTTCACTGTGTGTGTGCCCTTTGGTCATTGCTTGATTAGAAGTTGCTTGAAGTCCTGGCATTAAAACCCAGGGAGGGAACAGTATGGAAACTTTGCCCGTGGGTGTGAGTCCTAAGAATAATTGTTCTGCATGTACCAGAAAGGGACAAGGCCCCTTTCCACAGAGAGGAGATGGCCACTGGTGACATCAGAAAGCCTTCCTGTTACAGAGACACCAGGACAGCCAATGCTGTGACCCCAGCCTTTCTTTATCTGAGAAACCCAGTGGCCAGGACAAGGGAAGCTGAGGTGTGGTGGTGCATGCCTGGGCTCTTCCCCTCAGGAAGAGTGACAGGACCATCATAAGTTCGCGGCCGTGTAGTGAGTTTCAAGCCAACCTGGGTTACAGAGCAAGACCTGTCTCAAGAAAGAAAAGAAGGAAATGGAGATCAGTTGAGTCGAGCCGCCCTCCCGCTTTTCTCAGTCATTAGCTCTTCAGCAGTCTCACTAAAAGAGAAAGGCTTTGAAAAATCCTCCTCCAAGATGGCTCTCTAAATTCCTCAGCCCCAAAGACAGGCTCCTAACCATCATCATTCATCAGAGTAAAATTAAGTTTGGATTGACAAGGAAGTGAAGAGATGATTCAAGTTATAAATATCCTCCACAGACAGGCTCCTAATTTGAACTCTTGACCTCCAGCTAATGGCACCAATGTGGGTCTTTCTGGAAATGCTGGAGTAAAGTAGGTCACCGGGAACAGGGCTACCCTTTGACTTGGAAACAGGGCTAACCTTTGAAGGTCATACCCACCCCTGGTTCCTGCTGTATGGCATACTCTCTGCTCTCTCATCCACCACTTGAACAGCTTCCAGAACATACTCCAGCCATCTAACTGAGCTCCTCCACCCTTCTTCTCCTGCCAGGATGGACACTCTCTGAAATGGTGAGCCAAAGTCAATCCTATCACCTTACATCCCTTCTGTTAGGCAGTCTGCCACAATGTTGCCAAGGTCACTGTTACAAACTTAGCTATTGTGGGATGAGCAAGCTACACTACATAGGACCTGGCGCTAAGGGTACGCTGAGAGCAGTGTGTCCTCACGGGCTAGTGTTTCTCAAAGCTGAAAGATACACACACCGAGATTAAAGGCCAAAGGCCAGCCCTTGCATAGCTTGTGTTTCAGTCTCTGTAGCGTATAGCTCTTACAAGACTGTTAACACAAGCCCCAAACACATCAACATTGCCATGTCTGACACCAAAGCTCTTAACTCCAAGTAGCAAATACTTCAGGTCATTTCTGACTCAAAATCAGAGCAGACTGGGCAGGAAAAGAGTCTGTTTCCAAAAGACATCCCCTACTTCAGATGCTAGCCACAAGTTTACAGTCTTCAGAACATATGGACTCCTGTCCAACTTGGCTACAAAATCAAAAACTCCCCCTCCTCCCAAATTTCTCTCAAGTCCAATCATTTGACGTGTGAAGTGCTTCACAGGACTTGGCAGAGCACAGACCTACGAGACTATTTGGATAAAGGTGAAGGGAACAAGGGGCGGAAGGGTCTGAGCTTCGTTCATGGAGTCAGCCTGAGTCATCCTCCCAAGAACCTCAGTATGTTCACTAGACAGGAAGAGCAGCAAGTCCCCATGTCCAGGGATTGCCTGGGACGAACCAAGTCATTGGGCACAGCGTGAAGCTTAATCTCCTCAAGTCAGGAGGGCGGGACTAGAAGGAACTGCACCTCCCTGATCATAGCAGTTGCTTTTTCTACAGAGCAGCCCTCAGCTCAAGGCTGTCCCGCTGCTCCCCACGGCCCACTTCATTAGCAGAAAATCAGATACAGTGGCTACCTTAGTCCCTTTTCTGCTACTATAGTGGAGTACCCCAAGTGCATAACTATATAAAAAAGAGATATTTATTTCTCCTAGTATTGGAGGCTGGGACTAAAATGGACCATTGTAGGAGATGCCACATGTCATGGAAGGGAGGTGGCAAGCTGTTTTATGCCAATGTCACATTTGAAGTATCTCACCTATTCCCATAAAGACAGCATCGTTCCATGCATGAGGTCAGTACCTCCTACCTAAACATCCCACCTCCCAGAACCTTCTCAGAGGACGCTAACTGCAAGAGACATATTCCAACCATAGCAGACCCCAAATGGCGCTGGTTATAAACAGCAAACAGACGGCTGTCACTCAGGGAGTTTCGTGAAGTTTGAAGCCCTGTGTCTAGCACCAGGAATAGGAGGAAGGGGTGGGCGCAACATTACGTATATACATGTAAACCATCGTGATCTTATGTACAGATAAAACTCTTACAAACAATAATAATTCAAGTAAGGGTTGATGAGATGGCTCAGTGGGTAAAGGTGCCTGCTGCTGCTAAGCCTGATCCCCAGAGTCCACATAGTGGGAGAAGAGACCGGACTCCAGAAGGCTGTCTTGTAACCTCCACACGCACACTGCTGCACAGCATTCATGAATAAATGTAATGAAAAATAAAGTCTAGTTAGTAAGACCACAGAGGAAGGTTTACTGTGCCCCAGGGGTGCTGACCAAGCAGCTGGCCATTCTATGGAGGTTGACCTTCCCTCCCCACCCCCATGCCCCACCGTTAAGACGTGGCCTTTGTCATAGCATGTTGTGAGTTCGTCCACCCTTATCTTGTGTTAACACGTCCTTTTGCACGTCATTGCCCTTCCACCCCACACCCCACCCCCATCTTCTGTCTTTAACTGATACAGTTAAGGGGCAGAGAACTCTAGCTTTCCAAATGGTTGTATTTTTCTTGTCAGGCACTCAGAACTCAAACAGATGAAGATAATTCACTATTACTTTTTCTATTACTCTTCAGCTGCCGTCTGAACGACCCTTAACCAGTTGTCAAACCAAAGGTCATGAGCGTGCAGCTTGGTGGACAGCGACCAGTACGGATTCTTAGGGCAATAGCCACAGACAGATGGCACGACAACTTCCCTAGTTAATCCCTAAATTCATCCATTGGCTCTTAGTAAGCCTAGTGAACCCTGTGGAGAGTCTCTTCACCTGATAAACACAGCAGGGCTGGAGGCAGAGAGTTCTGACTTCCGTGCGACTCCCACTGCAAAATAATGAGGTCAAAGGATAGAATTGAAATGAAGAACTGGGGGTCATGGGGAGATAAAGAAAAAGGTGAGGAAGTGACTAGGGGAGGGGCAATCACTCTTTTAAATATGGCCATCTTGGTGCACATTTCCTACAATCCCTGTTAAATTGTGATCTCTGTGGAAGTAGGAGAACCTCAGAAGGAAGAGGAGGAGAGAGCAAGTGTGGACCAGCAAAGGAAAAGAAAGCAAGTGGGTGCCCTTGGTGTGAGCACCCTCAGCTAAGCAGCCAAATCCCAAGGGCTTCTCAGTGGCTGAACTCATTAATAGCCCTGGGTGGTGTGGTCTCCAGGTGGGAGCGACTTTGCCTTGGCCAAGATCAAGTCCTTAAGAAGCAACTCACATGTTGTGGTAATTATTTAAAATTGGCCTCTGGTTCATCCGACTATCTAAGCTACAGCGGCTCTGCCTAGCCCAGCCGCCATGTTTCTTGGCCTGACGCCACATGCGTGCAGCAGCTAGAACTGGCTCGCCAGAAACACCAGCCCTGCCACCCACTAGATGTCAGCATGAGAGATGGCTCTCGCATTGCCCAGACCATTCTGCTATCCATGCGGGCCCAGTAAGAGAATGAAACTCCAATTCTTATAGATTAATCAAGGGCTTTATATGTTTGATAATGATTAATAAGATGCCCATACAAAGAGAGTTGTATCCCAATTAGCTAACCTAATTATAAGTTTATAAGTTGTTCTCCACGAGTGCTCTCCATACCTATGTGATTCTCCATCCTCCTACATCTGTCCCCTCTCTAGCTCCTCCTCTTACTTTTTTCTCTTCTCCTTACTCCTCCTCTTCTTCTTCCTCTCCTAACTCCTCCCACCCTAGCTCCTCCTACACTCACACTTAGTGGTTAATATGCACTAAAGCACCACAGCTCATGGGAAAAGGGATGGGGGACACCTACAGCAGGACCAGGAGGAGAGGGGTACCTCCCAAGAGAGGTGTGGTGGACAGAATAACAGACACATAAAGATATCTGTGTCTTAACCCTAGATATGTCAACATGCTACCTCCTGTGGCCAGAGTGGCTTGGTGGCTCCTAATAAATTCAGAATAGAGATAGATTATCTGGGACCACCCATGTGAGCCTCCTGGAAGCACAGAGAACCTTAGGAGGAAAGGAGACAGAGGACAGTGACCTTGGAAGCAATGGTCAGACTCCAAGAGATGGAGAGTTGCTAAGCAGCTGGCTCTGAGCATGGGGTGGGGGTGGGGGTGTCTCCGAAGCAGAAAAGGGATAGAAATGGATCTCTGATGTCACCCTGGGCTTCATCTCAGTGAAGCTCATTTTGCACGTCTAAACCTCAGAACTGTAAGCCAGTCTGAGTTAAGGTCAGAAAGGCTGGAAGACACTAGACAATGTAGATGACCTTAAAAGCCAGTAGGAGGGATGAGGACCCCCCCCCATGGGACTTAAGCAGATCTGACTTAGGATCTAAGAGGAACATGGGTGTGCCACAAAGTGGGGGATCCAGGTGACTCCCTGTCAGGGACCACAATCATCCAAGTGGTTCTCACCCGGAGGGCCTGGCAGGGAGGGAGGTTCTCCTGCAGAGAAGAGCAACCATAAAACACTGTCCTTGCTGCCCAGGGCTCCTAGCTTTCAGAAGAAAGACAAGATGCTCCAAGGCCAAGGTTTGAAGGTCCAAATCTGGTCTGCCCTTCCCAATATGAGATGATCTAACCTCTCTTCTAGGAAGATGATCTACAATAACATACATGAATAATCGGCCACAGCCCAAGAGAGATTGTATTTTAAGTTACCCCTTTAAGTTACACAAATTCTTCAAGACATAAAGACTCAGACTGATGGCAGAATCACCATTTGTCATCAGTTAGCATAATGTGTTTGGTAGTGTGTCTGTTGAATTTACATCAATGCTCTGTGTAGACTCTGGAAAGTTGGGTAGACCCATGAGTCATGTATGAGTCAGAATCCCCCGTGTCACGCCAATGCTTCACCCCAGGGTTACTTGGGTTTACCTTCCCCTTCTTGGGAAGTGTGTAAAGATTTAGTGTGTCTGGAAACTGTGCCCCTGAGCCTAGGTCTGATCCAAACCTTTCCCAGATGGGAGGCGCCTCCGGCATTCGTCTGTCATGGGCATTGACCTGGGCTCCAGTGCCAGCCACCAGTTCTTGGGTCCTTACTCTGCTAATTACATGTTCCTTCCCCTTTAAAAAGATGTCAAGCATGAGATCCATTTTAGTTAATCCTTTTGCTCTTCTGTATCCTATGTCATGTTTTTTCTCCTTAAAAAGAGAAAGAAAAACAAGCATTAGAAACTCTGGATATGGGGTTCATACTCATAGGTCCTTTTTAGAAATATAAGAGAGCTTTGCACGGGGCAACTCACTGCTTCTCAGCCCTGTTGTACCTACGAGAACCAGCTACTTTCACTGCGGAGGTAGAACTCGGAAAGGAAGCTTGGCAAGAGGCTAAGGGAAGTTCTTCACAAGCAAGAGCTGCGTTTGGGAAGGCAAAGCCTCAGAATGGCCCAGTTGGTTTTCCAGCCAAGTTCTCTGTCTTGTAAGGTTCCCTCTTGGGCAACGAGTACCCTTAAGCATTTGAGCTGTGGCTAGTGTGGTGTTTCTGCTTCTGTCCAGATTTGATCATTGAAATTTAAAGAACCTCAGACAGCCAGAAACTACTCTATTGCAACTGTTGAACATAGTTTCTTTTTTACTTTGAAAATCTAAATATAGTTTCTTTAAAATATACTCACTTAGATTAGCTTCTATTCTTTGGTATTTAGCAATTTTTTTTCTTCTAAACTTTTGCTTCCCCTGCGTTGATTTCTGTCACCAGACCAATGTGAGAGTATACCCCACCTGTGACCATGTGTTGCATTTCTTTTGAATAAAGTCATTTTCTTTTCATTAACAGGATTATCAGAATCTGCCAAAGTAGGACTAGTTACTGGGTGCCTGATACTGATGGCTTGCATGGGCACCATCATAGTGCTGAAACGGATTGGTTATATATGCCTAAAAGACAATTTCCCCAATGTCTTGGTATGTAGTTTTTCTGTCTTTATTTTTTATTTTAACTTAATTTTTTTTTTAGAGACATAATATGTTTTCAGGAAAGAATCTCATTTTCCAAAAGCATCAGTCAGTTTGTCCATCCTAGATTCTTTGTTGTCCCTGCAAGTCTCAAATGTATTTGGCATTTTATATTTTCTGTATGTCTGTCTATTCTCTCTCTCTCTCTCTCTCTCTCTCTCTCTCTCTCTCTCTCTCTCT